TACATATATTGTACATATCACATGATCACGTACTATTCGTCTCCCAACAAAGTGCATGGTTATTAAGAGGTTGGAGTTTACATGTCCTCACGAAGAAAAGAATGAGGTGCTATTTATACTCCTTTTGAAATGAAGTAGCTAAAGTTTTCATATTACCAATTGATGTAATCACAGACCTGGATGTTCGTGGGTGAAGGTATCCCATATGCTTGGGCCTCTTCCATCTTCTTTTACTGCACCTTCGTACTGAAATATACACACATGCATATACGTAAGAGTACTACTACACACGCAAGGAAGATGTCAACATTATAATTCATGCATGGATGCTAACTGCATGTATAAAATGCACCAAAAATATGGTAAATAATCCCAAAAGAAATATATAAATGTGTGTGTGTGTGTGTAAAATACATATATATACAGACCTGGTAAGCTGCGGAACCTGTGCCAAATATAAACCCTGGTTCAAACCTGCTGCGATTGAGTAATTCGCAATGAACAGGTGGATCTGTATTAGTTGCTTATCTATTTGTCAATGCAAAGCCAATGAGTAGCAGCACACCAAAGGGCAAAGATCGTGAATATTTCATTGCCATAACTTGGGAGTTTTGATATCGTTCGAGATAATTAAGTTATCTCCTCCTGGAATATTGCATGGGGTTTATATAGAGAAAGGGAGGAAGGGATATGGTGTCTACGTACTAGCTCATGAGAATAGTAAAGGTTTAAAAATTGTAAACAAAATTGACTTTGAAAGCCCTAGTTTAAAGACCAAGTCATGGTCTGTTGTTTAAAAGAAAGCACGTTTCATGTACCCAAAAATTGCGTACGTACGTAAAAGAATGGATAATCCTTGCGTTCCACCTATGAGGAATGCACATACTCTTCAAATTTTATATTGTGATCCTTCAGTTCCTTAATCTTTATTTGAAGATCATCTAAACAAAAATAATTATTTGAATTTGAGATCGTTTAGTCATTTAAATATATGAACCCAATCGATAGTGTTGATATTAAGTAAAAGATTTATAATGAACTATTCATTTTATTGACATATTTGGATAACTACACAGTCTTCAATTTGAACAGTTTTTTGTATATATGATATTCAAATTAAGATTAAAAAATCAATAACTTATACTATATATATGAAAATACATTATTTATAAAAACAAATTATTCCTTGAGTTGAAAAGTAAGATAATGTAGACAACTGTACGATCAATCTCATTTTAATTTGCAATGATCAATCCTTGAGTTACCCTTGAGTTTTCCCGCAAAAGAATGTTAAATGCATTAGGAAACAAAGAGTCATTTATATGCATGTTTATATGATGTATGTCCAAATGTTGAAGGCATAACTTTTGAAGTTGAATATGGAAGATTAGCTATAGGGACTTGTTCAAACAGTAGAAAATTACTTGACCCAACAAAAAAATAGAAATTTATGACCAGAATTCTTTACGTAAGTACTTAAGCGATAAAGATGAAGAATTTAATCTTGATCTTTTTCTTGTTGTTAGAGTTTTAGTATTGAATTGGTAAACCTAGTGGTTTTTTGAAATTGGCTTTCCACTCTAATTAAGATGGCATCGAAATAGCTAGGTTCTCAAGTTGGCTATTTTGCTCCTAAAGATTGTCAAAGGATTGCATTGGGTGGTTTTTTCGAAGGTTTGGACACCCTTCAAAGTATAGTAGTTACACATTCTTCTTGCTTGTACAAGAATGAGAATTGTAAAGGGTTAAAATTTGTAAACAAAATTGGCTTTGAAAGTCCTAGTTTAAAGTCCAAGTCATGGTCTGTAATTTAAAAGAAAGCACGTTTCATGTACCCATTAGTTGTCTACGTACGTAAAAGAATGGATAATCCTTGCGTTCCACCTATGAGGAATGCACATATTCTACAAATTTTATATTGTGATCGTTTAGTTTCTTAATTTTTATTTGAACATCATCTAAACAAAAAGAATTATTTGAATAAAAGATTTATAACGAACTATTCATTTTATTGATACATTTGTGACTAAACAGTCTTCAATTTGAATAGTTTTTTGTATATAAGATATTCAAATTAAGACTAAGAAATTAATAACTTATACTACAAAAATACATTATTTACAAAAAAATTATTCCTTGAGTTGAAAAGTTAGATAATGTACACAACAGTTCGATCGATCTCATCTTAATTTGAAATGATCAATCCTTGAATTACTCTTGAGTTTTATAGCGAAAGAAAATGTTTTCTGGATTCGGAAACAAAGAGTCATTTATCTGCATGTTTATATTATGCCTATCCAACTGTTGATGGGCAAAACTTTTGAAGTTGAATATGGGCAAAACTTATTCAAACAGTAGAAAATTATTTGACTCAACAAAAAAGTAGAAATTTATGACCAGAATTCTTTACATAAGTATATAATCGATAAGTATGAAGAATTAATTAATCTTGATCTTTTTCTTCTTGTTAGAGTTTTAATATTGAATCCGTAAACCCAGTGGTTTTGTGAAATTGTATTTCCACGCTAATTAAGAAGGCATCGAAATAGCTAGGTTCTCAAATTGGCTATTTCGCTCCTAAAGATTGTGAAAGGATACCATTGGGGTGGCTTCTTCTTGGTAGTACAAGAAATAACACAAAAGTTTGACCCCTCTCTAATTTTTCTAATTTTTTTCTTTATTTGAATTTTTGGGACTTATATTGAATTTTAGTGTGTCTCGCAACCTGAAGGAATTGGGAGGGGGGTCATTTCATTTTTGGATATAGAACGAATAGGTTCAGGATATGAGAGAATTAAGTATACCCACCAGAAAGACTAATCCAAACCATAATGATGTGCCAGAAAATAGAACATTTTTGTTACCCGACCAACCCTCAGGAGAAGCAAATGCAACAGGTACACTAATCAATAAGATTAAAGAAGTAGCAATTAATGCAAAAACAACCAATAGGAAAGCAATATTCATGTTCCTAATCCTCCAATCTACCAACAAAAGAATTATACCATTTGATCCCTTTATCAACCAAAAAATTGTACACCTTATATACTGCTTTTGGGCAACCCTCTCAACAACTAAGAGATCCATTCGAGGAACAAAGGGACTAGTTGAAGTACGGATCCTCCCAATATTGGGAGGATTTGTACTTCAATTGAGATGATAACAAATCATTTCACCTTTTTAGTTGGAACATTAGGCAGTTCTCGAAAAAAGATGGCGAAAAATATTATTCCTAGAGTTGAGACTAAAAGGGATGTATAAACCAATGCTTCCATAGATTTGATCGTGGTTTACAATTATAGGTTCCATACCTATTTATTTGGGATCGTCTCCCGGATAAATAAAGAACAAGAGTCAAAGAAAAGGCAGTGATTCAAATCAAGATTTATCTGGTACCTCATCTAAAAATCACAAAAAGAAAATAAAAATGAAAAGTAACAAGTAACAACGCATATTGTATCAGACTACTTGTCTTCTTGTAGTTGGATCTCCAAGTTTTTGGAATGCTCCAAATTCAAGTTGAGCATCTAAATCTGGATCAATACCCGCAAAAATATCTCGAAACAAGGTTCTAACTCCATGCCAAATGGATTTATTTTTTGTCCCATAATCCCCCACTACTATATATATCGTGAAACATGACATCTGTTTTGTATTTTTTTTTTAATTCATTCATTTTTTTTTTTAAGCATAACATAATATAGCATATTTGTATTTTTTTTATAATCTAAGATATTCTTCCTTTAAGCATCCTCAGCACTACTTTATAGATTTCCTTTTATCTATTTCTTCCACTTCATCGAAAGATATATCTTTCAATACAATAGTTATATGACAAGTGGATCTTGCCTTTGTCTAGTGTACTACCACCAGATATTATGGAGGAATCCACGGAAGATGTTTGTTTACAATCTAAAACTGTTGGACCAAATGATGAGGAGAAGAATGAAACTATTCCATACATAAGAAAAGATGATAAGAAGGGAAAAAAGAGAGTAGCTGACTAGGGCGAATTGAGAAGAAATAAGTCTGATAATAAAGGAAAAAAGTTTGGTTGAGATGACATGTCATATATGACAACTACAAATACATAAAAACAAATATAGATGTGTACTTGATGTCATAAATGCTAATTATATTATATATTTACCCGCTTAACTTTCTGTTTGCAGGAATCAATAACAAATTTTAATGTCTTTTCACAAGACGAATGAGGCAAACAATATGAAAATTGAGCAAGACTTTCTTTTTGTAGATTTTTCGCAAATGGAAAATTGGAGGTGCGGAGAATGCACATGATATTTTGGCATTGTGCAACACGAGGAAAAAATTGGAAGGATTTTTTTGTTTTGTTTTTGTGGCAAATTTTGTGCACTCTAGAAATTTGAAGTGGAGGTTGCACCATTTTCTTTTTGAATTGTACTATCTTAAGTTAAAATAAGTTGTAGTTGTTTTCATATATTATTAGAAAATGGAGACAATACTCTTATTGATTATTAATTCATCTTCTTTATGTTATGCTATAAAATGATGTACACACATAGCATAAGAATAAAACCTAACAATCTGTTTGGATGAAAATAATTTATATTACTAAAGAATTTTAAAATGATGGAAATTGAAATGACAAAATTTTATTATCTATAAATTGTGAATTTGCTTGTTTGATTAACCTAAAAGAACAAGAGAATTGAATACAGAATTTGTTATTTTTAAACTCTCATTTATAGAAATATGAAAATAACATCTATTTACATGAAACTAAATTTAGGAATTGAAGGTACCAAATTCTAAGTTTTTTTTTCCATGCCAAAATTCTAAATTTATATGTCCTCCTCTAAACATAAGGCTGGCTTGGGATTGCTTAATTTTTTTTGAAAAAAAAAGTTGGAACCATAAATTGTGTTTGGTTGGAAAAAAGAGTTTTTTTTTTTCTTCAATTGTGGATCAAAAACAATAGAAAGCAAAAGTTGGTTAGACTCTAAAAGAGCACTTTTTTTCATAGAAGAGCGTAATTGTCAATTAATGAAACATTTATGCTGACAATACTATCCTTTTCTCCTATGCTTCGTTCAATTTCCACCTTTCCCTATTTCTCTCGCGCTCTCTCCTCTCCCTCTCATCTGGTTCGGGCATAGACCCATCTATCCTCTTCATCTCCACCGGTTCAAGGACTCTTCACCAACAACAGGTGAGTTTTCTTTCGTTTCAATTTCTAATTTGCTTATTTTGACAATTTATTGTTGGAATATTGAAATATTGAACTGATTCAACTATAAGTCATTTTCTTCATTTTTCTACAATTGATTTTTGTTCCAAAATGATTGAAATTTGCTGATTAATTTGGTTAAATTCTATTTTTAATTAATTTCTGGGACTTGAGGTGGATTAATTTCTTTGGTTAATTTGGTTAGAATCGTTTTTTCCTGTATAATTAGTTGATTAGTTGTAATTTAGTTCAGTGATTAGTTTTTGGATGATACTGGAAGATTTGATTGCTGTTAAATTAAATTTACACAGACATGGATACTCTCTTTCACGTGGTATCAGCGAAAACATGTCTGCAACATAAATTTACACCGGCATGTGGATAGTGAGCTTTTCAAAAGTAGTTTTTTTTATTTGGACCAAAAGATAAAAGAATAGTATGAGTCGCATGAAATGGAAGATTGCAGAATCATAGTAAGCATATGATTTTGCGCAGGCAATGAACATTTCAGAGCCTTATCTCTAGCTCATAATTACAATTATGCTATACACCATATAGCTTCTGATGTTGTTGTGGTCTCCGTTGAACTTTGTGTCTTGTTTTGCTCTATCATTAAAATTCAAAGTTTTCAAACCCTTTCATTAGTTTTCCTTTAATATTATATATATAAGGATGGCAAAAAAGGTGGGAACTTCAGCAAGAGCTCCACATGGTACATGCAATGATCATAATATATCTGTATTCAGTAAATTGTGCATCAAGGATGTTGAGGTCGGACGTCGTCTTGGCCCTCACTTTAACAAAGAAAGATCGACAAATTTGATAGAAAACTTTAGGAAAGAAATAGGAAATTCTTATAGTAAAGCGCAATTGAAAAATAAGTGAGATAGACTAAAAAAGGATTGGTAGTTGTGCAAAAAACTAATTGGGAAAGAAACTGGCCTAGAGTGGAATCCAAGCAAGGGAACAGTGGATGCATATGATGAATGGTGGAATAATAAGATTTAGGTATGTTCACTTTGCATCAGTTATGATGTTATTCTAGTTATAGTAATCATAAACTACATAATAACAACATTCTTTTTTATTTTTAGATAAATCCTGAATATGGAAGATTGCAGAAAGGCATCACTCCCGAGTTCGATGAAAAGTTGGATAGGATGCTCTCAAATAGCGTTGCTATTGGTGCAAATGCTTGGGCACCTTCATTTGGTGCACTACTACCAAATAGTAGGGATGACTCAACAGGAAATGTTAATATACAAAATGAATCTATTGGATCAGATGATGAGGAGAGTGCACTACCGAATCTATGAGAAAAGGTGCTAAGAAAGGAAAAAGAAAAAAGCTGAAAGAAAAAGAAAAGAGCTGAACAAGGTGAATTAAGAACAAGTAAGTTTGATAGAAAAAGGAAAAAGGTTGGCGATGCTGGAAAATTGTATGGTCAAATTGACCGCCTTATTGGTGGAGTAGAGGGTAAGAGCACTATGAGGCAATTGGTGACAGGCACTAGTATTCCTGAAGTTGTGCAGGTTGTTGAATCGTTACCGGTTGTGAGCGTACTAGCCCGTTGTGGCTGTTTGCAACTCGTTTGTTTTTTAATCAAGAGAAGAGAGAGATGTTCTCTATCATGAAAGATCCTAGTGTGCAACTTACTTGGCTGAATTATGAGTTCATCAACCAATGAGGGAGTTGTAGTTTTACAAAACATTCTGGATTTGTACACTCTTAGTCAGATTTTAGGATTATGTCGTAGAATTTGTTTGACACCTTCCTTGAATGTTATTTTGAATTATGAGTTAATTTTTAGATACTTTGTTTTCAATATTGGTACAACTGTTAATCGGCAAGGTGCTTGAATTTTGTTAAGGATTATTTGTTAACTTGCACGTGCGCTTGAATATGGACATTCTAGATAATGATGAGGAAGAGTTTGACATATTAGCATGTGCTTGTACTCGAGCTATTGAAGCATATTATCTAAAATATGTGCATAAAACTCCATGTATGAATTTTTTCAAATAGGTAACATTTGGTTAATGAAAGTATTGCAAGCTAACTATAGTTTGAAAGGTTCAAGGAGAAAGTGATATTAGGAATGTTCTTGCATATGTTAGGACATAGTATAGAAGAAAAAAAAAAGAAAAAAAAAAGAATAGCTAAGAGCAATTTCAACACTCTTCGGAGATCATTAGTAGATATTTTGGTGTTATGTTGGATACTGTATGTTAGATGGCAATAGATATTATCAAACTTATAGATTTGAAATTTAATACCACCCCATGGGGCATAAAGGTCAAAGACATCATCTCTCATATTTTTATAGGAGTGGCCAACCAACAGGGCATAAAGACGTATTCAACCATATACATTTTTCTCTTAGAAGCGTAATTGAGTGTACATTTAGAGTATGAAAAAAAGGTGGGCAATTTTGAGGGATATGCTTGATTGTGTGTTCAATAAGCAAGTGAATATTGTCATTGCTACAATGGCTCTTCATAACTACAAAAGGAGGCATTCTGAACGTGATAGGCATTTTGATGACCCCGAAGACTATAGTGAAGAGAGCGATATTGATGATGATGAAGAGGAAGATCGAAATCACGACCAAGGAGGGATGGAGGCATTAAGAAATAGCATAATGATGAACGCATATTTTACTATTTATTTTCTTGCGAAAGCTACATTTTCTTGTGATATTTTGGACTTAGACGAAAGGAATTACATAGTGTTGTGCTTTTATAGTTATATTAATGAGGTGGAGGAAAATATGATGTTATAATTCCTTATTTTTAAATAAACCTAATGGTTTGTTATGATTTAAGTGTCTACCTATTTGGCTGTATAATATACTTGTGGCCTACATTCATTTTCTTTTGCCTTATGTGCAGTGCATGTCACTTGTTGGAATTGGAGAAGCCTTTAGCACGTGTTTATTTCATAGATCACAAGTCTATGCAATACTGAACCGACAAGTAAAAGAAAAAAACAAAAAAAAAAAACAAAAGAAAGCTGCATATTTCCTCTCGCATTTTTCAGGGTTAGCCTCCATACGAAACCAGAATAAGAGAGACCTTAGTGAAGTTAAATTGGACAGAAATATGGTGAATCACCTACACAAAGCAATTTCAAATTCATGGGTCTTTGCCAAAAGCATAAATTTGGGATATTAGGTTGCACAATCTGTTCCCGACGATGATTTATGAAGACAACGCAACATGCATCGAATGCTTAAGAAGGGTTACAACAAAGGAGACAACACCAAGCACATTGCATCGAAGTCTTTCTTCTCATATCAACAACAAGAGCATCAGAAGGTTGAAGTCACGCAGATTCGTTCACAAGACCATCTGGCTGACCTTTTTACCAAATCACTACCGAAGGCGACGTTTCAGAAGCTTGTTCAAGGATTGGTATGCGTAAACTTTTTGAGTTGTGACATTGTTAGTTCCCTTTGGAATTATGTCAAACTCAGGGGAGTATCCTGAAGTATACTTGCTTGATCTTAATGTACTATTTTTCCCTACGATTAGAAGCATTTTTCCCACTAGGGTTTTGCTACCTGACGAGGTTTTGACGAGGCTCTCATCTTGGGTTGGTTATATCCCTAATGACGTCCTGTAAACATTTCATTTGACTTTGCATTGCTCACAAATTTTTCTTTAACTATTTTGTCCTTACTCGGATTTTTACCATAGGCTTAGGATTTTTTATGAGACTTATTTCCTTATGCATGTTCCTACCTTATTGAGACTACCGTGTTCCTAGAATTAGTGACGACAAGTCGACTTCCTCAACAACACATGATGCCGAATCTACTTGAGTATTTACACACTCGAGGTGAAGTGTTATAAACTTCTTATTTAAGTGTGATTGTGTAAATCTTAAATTAGATTTTATTCTAGTTATTCTTCCCTATTAGGACTTATATTCCTTGGAGGAGAATGATTTCTTTCCAACCTTATTATTATATATAAAGGCACTACGTAGGGGGAATAACACATTTAGGAGGTCAATCAATTTGTATAGCTTCCAAAAGGCTTCAAGCAACACATAGGCTTCAACTCTTCAGTGGCTTAATTTGCACCATGCAGTATGAAGCATTATTAACATCTCCTTCAACTATACAAGGAGGTCAAACATTGTAGCTTCATTAAATTAGTTGGGTTGCCATGGATATGGTTTGAAAGAAACTCATTTATAGGCTTTTTAAAAACCTCAGGCATTTTCTACTCCAACATTTACAAGAACTTCGAAGTCACAAACTTCAATAACCTATATAGCCACCATGACAACATGCAAGTGTTATATCTTAACTTTACTTGCCAACAATGGTAAATGGAAACTTCTACCTTTCAACCTAAGTGTCCATAGAAAAAAGCTTCAACCACTGAAGCTATGTGCTTAAGGGAAAAAGCTTCAACCACTCAAGCTAAGTGTCCAAAGGAGAAAAGTTTCAACCACTTAAGGTATGTATCCAAAGGAAAAAGCTTCAGCCACTCAAGCTATGCAGCCAAAGGAAAAAGCTTCAACCACTCAAACAATGTGGCCAAAGGAAAAAACTTCAGCCATGCTATGCGCCCATAAGAAAAATCTTTAGCCACTGAAGCTATGTGTCTAAAGGAAAAAGTTTCAGCCACTCAAGCTATGTGCCCAAAGGAAAAAACATCAACCCTTCAAGCCATTTGTCCAAAGGAAAAAGCTTCAACCACTCAAGTTATATACACAAATGAAAAACTTCAATCAGATTTTTTTTTCTCAACAAAAAAAAAAAAGAAAGAAGGAATTGGGCTTAAGAAAAAAAATATATGTACTTGGGCTACATCCAAAAAAAAGAGGAAAAAATTTTTAAAGTCTATTTTCTTCATTGGCTCGGGAAATATAAGACACCTCCTTCGGTAATCCTCATCGATAGGAGATTTGGTGGACTCCTAATATATGCTAATGCACTTTAGTACTCAAAAGTTTCATGAGTACTCACCAATTTGGGTTTTGCAAGTCTCCAACCGAGAAGCTTTCCTCACTCGTGAACTTGGGGGACCACTGTTTGTTCCGTAGTTCACCACCCTCGAAACTACTAAGCACCGGTCAACCTTATACCATCAAGGACCCACTGAAGACTTCATGTGGAGGCACCCTTGCCGAAGCACATGAGTTTTTCTCCAATCAAGAGACCAATCACAACACGACAAGCGTCAACCTAAAAATAAAACTCCTAGAGTCCCACATCAATCGTGGATGGGAGCCAAAGACCCTCATCAACTATACAAGGAGACCGTTCTCGAACAATTAATTCCTAATGTCATTATTGTGCATAAACTCATCATTAGAACTCACTAATGATGATTATGCTTAAACTTATGTCTTGTGTAAAATCTTCACTATTAATGAGGACTCCTCCACCCTCGTGGATGTAGCCCCATTTAAGGTGAACCACGTACATCTTGTGTTGCTTCCCTACCTCCATCTCTTTACATATTATCCTCACTAGGTGATGAAGCAACATTGCGATGGTTACAAACTCAACACTTTACGTCGTTTCAAAGTCTCACTGATTTTGTGCATCAACGTTTGTAAATAGTTTCTTACAAGCAATTAAGCCCGCGCGATGCCGTGAATTTTAAAACTGTGTTAAACAGGTGGAATATATTAAAATCTATTAGCATCCTTATGTTCAACAAAGAATAAAAAATAGATGTTTGTAATATATAGCAAAAGTTTTAAAACTCTTTAATTCTTCTAAACAAATTTGACAAATATGTACAATCCAACCTTCGACCAGTTCAAGCGTATACTTTTTCTTTTCTTCTATCAAATTTGTCACGTCACCCAAGGTCATATGCAAAGCCAGCTAACTGAAAACATTTGTGTTAAGTTGTGCAAAAAGTTGAGCACGCTTTAATTGAAAAAATAATCACTAATACAATTAGGCAAGAAGGGGACGAAGATAATCCTGAGGAGCTAGAAATATTTTGACTTCAACAAGAAGATATTAACAAGGTTTTACATACGTACCCAAAAGCCCCAAGGTGTGGTATCAACTCCAAAAAAAATCAAAAAAAAAAAAAAAAAACAAAAAAAAAAAAAAGAAAAAAAGAAAACCATCCCAAACAATAGTATAGAAATGTTTTAGTCCATCTAAAACCTGTTCTTATTTATTTATTTTTTTTATTTTTTATTTTTTTGTGGCCTTGTTTATTATTGTACTTATTAACAATTACTACTATGTCGAGGCGAGTTTCTTTACAATAGGACCAAGAAAAATAATAACTTATTACAATGTGCTATTTATTCCTCAACCCAAACTAGGACCAAAACTGTTTACAGCTATAAATAAGTTATTCCTTTGTATAGAGAGGTCTTACTGTAGCATTCACAGCTCTTATAGCTTTTTATTGAATTATTGAATCTCAAAGAATACTTACATTATTGAAAGGAAATACAAATGCGGAAGGAATTGAAATGCAAATACATAAAAAGGACAATTATCCACGTAAATGTTTATAATCAACAATAAATTTCTTTTAATTCCTTCAATTCTTCTTAAGCAAATTTTTGAACCAATGTGCTGAGAGTTTTGGGTGTCTTTTTAGCCCGTCATTATAATCCACGTAGTTTAAACCAAATCGGACGGTGTATCCAGAATCCCATTCAAAGTCATCCAACAATGTCCATGGAAAGTATCCCTTCACTTTCGCACCATTTCTGCACACAAATACACAAATGTTCAAATGGATTAGGTCAATATAATGATTGAATAACAATAACTTAAGAAGGCTAGGCAGTATATAGCCTTAATTAATTTGTTAATAACTACTTACTTGATCGCCGATTGAAGGTAACACAGGTGACGGTAGTGGTAGTCAATTCTATTGGTATCATGAAGAGCCTCGTCAATTGATAGTTCTGGATTATTCAACTCTGATACACCTACGTACATATTATTGCACAAAAAATTAAATTTAGATTTTTCCTCTGAAAAAAAAAAAAAAAACGGGTAGTTTCATTTTACACCATTATAAATATGTGAAACTTTTGCATTTAATCAAGGCTTAAAAGTATGTATGACATACCATTCTCAGTAATATAAATGAGTGGATCATTATATTTTTCCTTTGTGTAGAGCACAAGATCGTGAATTCCTTTTGGATATACATATAACCAATCTGAAGCAGTCTGCAACACCATTTCAAGATAATACGTTAATGTTGGGGTAAAAAACTAATCCTCCAAATGCAAATAGCTCAAAATGATAAATTTGATGTATACCTGTGGACCAATAAGTACTCCATTAAGCTCAGCTGCCACAATATTTACAAACATTAGAATACAATTGGTGTGAATATTAGAATATAATTAATGTAATTAAGAAGTCAAACTAGGTCAAGAAGAACAAAGAACTTAAGCTATTGAAAGTAAGTTTCCTTTCGCACTCACTTGTAAGATCAGCTTGAGGGTCTGTTACGAAGCTTGCCTGTAGTGAATTGTTCTTCGGTGTACTAGTTGCGTATCTAGCAGTATAATAATTTATTCCAAGAAAATCAAACGATCCGTTTAGCAACTTGGATTGTTCTTTTGTGAATTTTGGCAATCTTTTTCCAACAATTGATCGCATGGTGTGTGGATAGTCACCACTTGTTAACGGGTCCAAAAACCTACAAAACATGAAAATTCCAAATATTTGCCTAATTATAGCATTATATATAAAGAGTAATGCTAGCTAGTTGTATCAATGTTACAAGTCATAAGTAAACGTGTAATTGAGTTTATATATAATTTATTAAGACACTTGCCATCCAAACATAAAATCCAAAGATCGTAAGGCAGCATCTTTATCTTGCTTTGACTTCGAAGCAGGCTCAAACCAGTATGTCACCAATGTTATTCCTATCAAGCCTTTTTGAGATGCCTGCCCAAAAATATGAATTTTGGTTGAATAAATAGGAGTTATAGAAAAAGATACAACCTTTAGATTATCTTACTATTGAGAGTATTCCCTCTTGTATTACAACTCAATAATAATGATTCATATAGAATTCTCAATTAGGAGCCAATATGCTGACCCAAACAAATAAAATAAAAAATAAAAAGAAAGAAACTGTTATTGAACCTGATATCTATTCTTGTACAATTCTACAGCTGCTCCATGAGCAAGAAGAATGTGGTGTGTCACCAAGTATGGTTCAATGGCTGAATCTCCACCGGTGCAGTTTAGATTTTGCCAAGAAGAGCAGCGTCCCGGTGCTAGAGTCCCAACAGCATAACCCATGCTACTAAAAGTATATGGCTCATTTACCGTGAACCAGTGCTTGACTCGATCACCAAATTCTTTATAACAAAGTTCTACATAGTCTTTAAAATGATCGCTGTAGATACAAATTTATGTTACGTATATCAGTATGTATTTCATCAAATTATCAATGAGAAAATAAATTTTGTTCACTTACACAATACGAGGGCTTAAGAAACCACCATATTCATCTTCTAAAGCTTGGGGAACATCCCAATGAAAGAGTGTTACAAACGGCTTTAAACCTGTAGTACGTGATCAGTAAAATCGAATTAAAAGTCTAATTGAATGATGTTCTAAAAATTCATGTAATAATTGTTTAAGGTAGGATGATTAACCATTGCGTAGGAGTTCATTGATGAGATTGTTGTAATAATCAATTCCTTTTCTGTTAACGCCACCACTTAATGTTCCATCTAATTAGAAAAAAAAAAGAAAAAAAAAGGGTTAACCAGTAGATAACTCGATCACATTACTTTAGTTAAAAGTATATAAAGAGAATAATTTTCTTGTAGGAAAAATAATTCTTATGCACAATATTGACATTGGTCCCAACCAAATATGAGGATGTGGAGCAACTTACTTGGTAATAATCTGGACCATGAAATAGATAATCTGTAAGCATCCAACTCCATATCCTTCATAATCCCCACATCTTCCTAAAATGACAAAAGTTTAAAATTAAATATTGAGGATCTCATTATATATTGTCCTTTTTATTTTATTTTTATAGAGGCTCCAATTTAATATGTTAACATGTGCCCTTCAAGTATAAAGGGTCAAGAGACAAAGTTATGAGGTTTTAGACCTTATAGCGGTGATATTGATCTATAGCGACGTCTCCGTTACTGCCATCAGCGATTTTTTCTGTAGTCATTCAAAAACATAATGGTGAAATCCATATCATGTGCAAAGTACTTTATATGCGTGCGCACTGATGATGTATATACATATATTGTACATATCACATGACCACGTACTATTCCTCTCCCAACAAAGTGCATGGTTATTAGAGAGGTTGGAGTTTACTTGTCCTCACGAAGAAAAGAATGCAGTGCTATTTATACTCCTTTTGAATTGAAGTAGCTAAAGTTTTCATATTACCAATTGATTAAATCACAGACCTGGATGTTTGTGGGTGAAGGTATCCCATATGCTTGGGCCTCTTCCATCTTCTTTTACTGCACCTTCATACTGAAATATACACACATGCATATACGTAAGAGTACTACTACACACGCAAGGAAGATGTCAACATTATAATTCATGCATGGATGCTAACTGCATGTATAAAATACACCAAAAATATGGTAAATAATCCCAAAAGAAATATATAAATGTGTGTGTGTGTGTGTAAAATACATATATATACAGACCTGGTAAGCTGCGGAACCTGTGCCAAATATAAACCCTGGTTCAAAACTGCTGCGATTGAGAAATTCACAATGAACAGGTGGATCTGTATTAGTTGCTTTGCTATTTGTCAATGCAAAGCCAATGAGTAGCAGCACACCAAAGAGCAAAGATCGTGAATATTTCATTGCCATAACTTGGGAGTTTTGATATCGATCGAGATAATTAAGTTATCTCCTCCTGGAATATTGCATGGGGTTTATATAGAGAAAGGGAGGAAGGGATATGGTGTCTACGTACTAGCTCATAAGAATAGTAAAGGGTTAAAAATTGTAAACAAAATTGACTTTGAAAGCCCTAGTTTAAAGACCAAGTCATGGTCTGTAGTTTAAAAGAAAGCACGTTTCATGTACCCAAAAGTTGTGTACGTACGTAAAAGAATGGATAATTCTTGCGTTCCACCTATGAGGAATGCACATACTCTTCAAATTTTATATTGTGATCCTTCAGTTCCTTAATCTTTATTTGAAGATCATCTAAACAAAAATAATTATTTGAATTTGTGATCGTTTAGTCATTTAAATATATGAACCCAATCGATAGTGTTGATACTAAGTAAAAGATTTATAATGAACTATTCATTTTATTGACATATTTGGATAACTACACAGCCTTCAATTTGAACAGTTTTTTGCATATATGATATTCAAATTAAGATTAAAAAATCAATAACATGTACTATATATATGAAAATACATTATTTATAAAAACAAATTATTCCTTGAGTTGAAAAGTAAGATAATGTAGACAACTGTACGATCAATCTCATTTTAATTTGCAATGATCAATCCTTGAGTTACCCTTGAGTTTTCCTGCAAAAGAAAATGTTAACTGCATTAGGAAACAAAGAGCCATTTATCTGCATGTTTATATGATGTATGTCCCAATGTTGAAGTCATAACTTTTGAAGTTGAATATGGAAGATTAGCAATAGAGACTTGTTCAAACAGTAGAAAATTACTTGAGCCAACAAAAAAACAGAAATTTATGACCACTATTCTTTACATAAGTAGTAAGCGATAAAGATGAAGAATTTAATCTTGATTTTTTCTTCTTGTTAGAGTTTTAGTATTGAATTGGTAAACCTAGTGGTTTTTTGAAATTGTCTCTCCACTCTAATTAAGAAGGCATCAAAATAGCTAGGTTCTCAAGTTGGCTATTCCTAAAGATTGTGAAAGGATTCCATTGGAGTGGTTTTTTCGAAGGTTTGGACACCCTTCAAAGTATAGTAGTTACACATTCTTCTTGCTGGTACAAGAATGAGAATAGTAAAGGGTTAAAATTTGTAAACAAAATTGGCTTTGAAAGTCCTAGTTTAAAGTCCAAGTCATGGTCTGTAATTTAAAAGAAAGCACGTTTCATGTACCCAATAGTTGTCTACGTACGTAAAAGAATGGATAATCCTTGCGTTCCACCTATGAGGAATGCACATATTCTACAAATTTTATATTGTGATCATTTAGATTATTTCAATAAAAGATTTATAACGAACTATTCATTTTATTGATACATTTGGATGACTAAACAGTCTTCAATTTGAATAGTTTTTTGTATATATGATATTCATATTAAGATTAAGAAATTAATAACTTATACTACAAAAATACATTATTTATAAAAAAATTATTCCTTGAGTTGAAAAGTAAGATAATGTACACAACAGTTGGATCGATCTCATCTTAATTTGAAATGATCAATCCTTGAATACTCTTGACTTTTCTAGGGAAAGAAAATGTTTTCTGGTTTCGGAAACAAAGAGTCATTTATCTGCATATTTATATTATGCCTGTCCAACTGTTGATGGGCAAAACTTTTGAAGTTGAATATGGGCGATTAGCTACAAAGACTTATTCAAACAGTAGAAAATTATTTGACCCAACAAAAAGGTAGAAATTTATGACCAGAATTCTTTACGTAAGTACATAGTCGATAAGGATGAAGAATTAATTAATCTTGATCTTTTTCTTCTTGTTAGAGTTTTAATATTGAATGTAACATCCTGTCCCGGGATTTACGTAAGAAAATGAGTATTTTTGTATTTTCACTAAGTTTAGGAAATACCTTCCTTTTTAAAATTGTTTTTGAACCTTATTTGGTGAGCCCAAGGGCCCACCCCCTGTTTTGTCCCCCCTGCCGTGTCCCTCCTTTCTTCTTTCTTCTTTTTCTTTTTTCTTCTTTTCCTTTCTTTTGTTTTGTTTTGTCTGCACCTTCTCCCTTCCTTCGAAACTCCCCCATTTCTCTCTTCTTCTTCCCCGTGAAACACACACACACACACACCCATGCCCACACCTATAGCTCTTTTCTAACCCCGTGGTTGTGTTTTGGACGTCAAACCACGAAGAAATCACCTTGGAGACATTCCCCAGTTTTCCGGCGAGCACCGTCCCTTTCGAGGCGATTTCCGGCCAAAACACGGCGAGTTGGCCGGCGTGCAAGGTATCAATCTCTTCGTCTCGCTGAGTACTACAACTTTCCTTTTTGTTTCACCCAATTTCATTGAGTATTGAAGAAGTTATGCTCATTTGAATCTTACCCAGTTTCCGGCGGACACCCGTGACTTCCAGGCTGTTTTCCGGCCAACTCCGGCCACGATGATGGGAACCAAGGGTATATTTCGATTCCTTACTTTCGGGGCTTCAATTTGGTATATTGAATGACATGTTTTGGTTGACTTTTTGAGCTCCAACGGAGCTTGGGAATTCTCCGGCCAAGAACCGGCCTTCTCCTTCCTTGGACTCCGACGAACACCCATGGCCTTTGGGCCTTTCCTGCCAAGCCCAAAACCTAGGCAGCCCAACCCAACACCCTTTGTAATTAGGCCTTTGGGCCGTTTGTTTTAGGGCCTCTGGCCCGTTAACCCTAAACCCATTAGACCCAAACCCTTAGGCCCAACCCGGATCCAACCCAAGTCCAAACCCAATACCCAAACCCAATTCACCTAAAACCTAAACCCATTTACCCTAACCCAAACCCTAAAGCCCAAACCCGTGACCCTGACCTGTTGACCCGGACCCTGACCCGTTGACCATTGACCCGGTCAACGGTCAGCGTTGACGTTGACTGTCAGCGTTGACTTTGACCTCGGGTTGCCTTTTTGGGTTTTCGTGCGGGACCCCTCCTAGGCTAATTTCGACGTTCTGAACCCGTTTCCGATGTCCGTTTTCCCAAATTTAATTGTTTGAGTAGAGTTTGACTAAATGTACCGTTTATGTGCTTAGGGGTGATTATTTGTGGCGTTTCCTTCTTCGCTAGATGGTGTGGCTTTTTGACGGCGAAGTACTGTGAGTGGACCCCTTCTAAAAATGCATGTTTTGATAGTAGAAATGCATACGTGAAAAACATGATTTGATGATTACGTTTTATGAAACGTTTTACGAGATAACATGCTTACTAAGGCTAGTTTGAATGATTACTATTTTTCCTATAACCCATGTTCTTATATAATATCTGATGGATGACGATATGATATTTAGAACATGTTTTGATTTTCAATATATGTATGTTCATTGGTTTTGGTACTTACCTAGTGGTCCTTTCCACTACTAGACGTAGGGATAGATCCGGTCCGTCCCAAGCGACGATTTGGTGTTGGCATAGGGCCTGGAGTGTGTTTTCCTCTGACTGTCTGCTCAGAGACGGGGAGCCGGCATGGGGCCTGAAGTGTATTTTCCTCTGACTGTGTGCTCAGAGATAGGGAGTCGGCATGGGGCCTGGAGAGTTGTATCGGACATTCACTAGTGGTTATTATTTATGCGAATTATGATTTGAGACATTGCACGACATACTAGGTTTCGGAAAACCTATGTTTATCATTATATATGTGTTTTCATAAAACTTGGGGGGTTAATATGTTGATAACTGTTTTATTATATATATATCAACTTGGTCCATTCATGTTTGTTTTGCGCCCCCTTCAGGACTTAAAATCAAGGCATGCAATCCCGACGTCCAGGCACTTTCGCATCGGCATCTTCGAGTCCTCTCGGCGTAGGACCACTCCTTTGTTTCATTCAATTTTATATTATTTTCTTTTAGTGTTCTAGATTTGTAGTGTGCTCTGAACACGGTCCTTATTTGCATATTCATTACTCTTTTATATTTATAAACCTTATTTATCCTTTGTTTTCAGCATTTGCACTCAATAAATGGCTTTCGTCACCCTCGGGTGTCGGCCAGCACGTGCCTACCCTGGTATTCGGGGAATATCGGGGTCGGGGCGTGTCATTGAATCCGTGTGGTTTTGTGAAATTGTATTTCCACGCTAATTAAGAAGGCATCGAAATAGCTAGGTTCTCAAATTGGCAATTTCGCTCCTAAAGATTGTGAAAGGATACCATTGGGGTGGCTTCTTCTTGGTAGTACAAGAAATTGATTAATTGTTTCAAGAGACTGGTTTTTATTAGCTTACATCTATTTATTTTGATTTAATATTTTTCATTTATATATATTTTTACAATTCAAAAACACAAAAGTTTGACCCCTCTCTAATTTTTCTAATTTTTTTCTTTATTTGAATTTTTGGGACTTATATTGAATTTTAGTGTGTCTCACAACCTGAAGGAATTGGGAGGGGGGGTCATTTCATTTTTGGATATAGAACGAATAGGTTTGGGATATGAGAGAATTAAGGATACCCACCAGAAAGACTAATCCAAACCATAATGATATGCCGGAAAATAGAACATTTTTGTTACCCGACCAACCCTCAGGAGAAGCAAATGCAACATGTACACTAATCAGTAAGATTAAAGAAGTAGCAATTAATGCAAAAACAGCCAATAGGGAAGCAATATTCATGTTCGTAATCCTCCAATCTACCAACAAAAGAATTATACCATTTGATCCCTTTATCAACCAAAAAAGTGTACACCTTATATACTTCTTTTGGGCAACCCTCTCAACAACTTAGAGATCCATTCGAGGAACAAAGGGACCAGTTGAAGTATGGATTCTCCCAATATTGGGAGGATTCGTACTTTAATTGAGATGATAACAAATCATTTTACCTTTTTAGTTGGAACATTAGGCCGTTCTCGAAAAAAGATAGCGAAAAATATTATTTCTAGAGTTGAGACTAAAAGGAATGTATGAACCAATGCTTCCATAGATTCGATCGTGGTTTACAATTATAGCTTCCATACCTGTTTATTTGGGATCGTCTCCCGGATAAATAAAGAACAAGAGTCAAAGAAAAGGCAGTGATTCAAATCAAGATTTATCTGGTACCCCATCTAAAAATCACAAAAAGAAAATAAAAATGAAAAGTAACAAGTAACAAAGCATATTGTATCAGACTACTTGTCTTCTTGTAGTTGGATCTCCAAGTTTTTGGAATGCTCCAAATTCCACTTGAGCATCTAAATCTGGATCAATACCAGCAAAAACATCTCGAAACAAGGTTCTAGCACCATGCCAAATGGATTTATTTTTTGTCCCATAATCCCCCATTACTATATATATCGTGAAACATGTCATCTGTTTGTATTTTTTTTTTTTCAGTCATTCGTTTTTTTTTTTTTAAGCATAACATAATATAGCATATTTGTATTTTTTTTTATAATATAAGATATTCTTCCTTTAAGCATCCTCAGCTCTAATTTATAGATTTCCTTTGATCTATTTCTTCCACTTCATCGAAAGATATATCTTTCAATACAATAGTTATATGACAAGTGGATCTTACCTTTGTCTAGTGTACTACCACCAGATATTATGGAGGAATCCACGGAAGATATTTGTTTACAATCTAAAACTGTTGGACCAAATGATGAGAAGAAGAATGAGACTATTCAATACATAAGAAAAGATGATAAGAAGGGAAAAAAGAGAGTAGTTGACTAGGGCGAATTGAGAAGAAATAAGTCTGATAATACAGGAAAAAAGTTTGGTCGAGATGACATGTCATATATGACAACTACAAATACATAAAAACAAATATAGATGTGTACTTGATGTCATAAATGCTAATTATATTATATATTTACCCGCTTAACTTTCTGTTTGCAGGAATCAATAACAAATTTTAATGTCTTTTCACAAGACGAATGAGGCAAACAATATGAAAATTGAGCAAGACTTTCTTTTTGTAGATTTTTCGCAAATGGAAAATTGGAGGTGCGGAGAATGCACATGATATTTTGGCATTGTGCAACACGAGAAAAAAATTGGAAGGATTTTTTTTGTTTTGTTTTTGTGGCAAATTTTGTGCACTCTAGAAATTTGAAGTGGAGGTTGCACCATTTTCTTTTTGAATTGTACTATCTTAAGTTAAAATAACTTGTAGTTGTGTTCATATATTATTAGAAAAATGGAGACAATACTCTTATTGATTATTAATTCATCTTCTTTATGTTAAACTACAAAATGACGTACACACATAGCATAAGAATAAAACCTAACAATCTGTTTGGTTGAAAATAATTTATATTACTAAAGAATTGTAAAATGATGGAAATTGAAATGACAAAATTTTATTATCTAGAACTTGTGAATTTGCTTGTTTGACTAACCTAAAAGAACAATAGAATTGAATACAGAATTTGTTATTTTTAAACTCTCATTTATAGAAATATGAAAATAACATCTATTTACATGAAACAAAATTTAGGAATTGAAGGTACCAAATTCTAAGTTTTTTTTTTTTCCATGCCAAAATTCTAAATTTATATGTCCTCCTCTAAACATAAGGCTGGCTTGGGATTGCTTAATTTTTTTTTTTTTTAAAAGTTGGAACCATAAATTGTGTTTGGTTAGAAAAAAGAGTTTTTTTTTTTTTCCTTCAATTGTGGATCAAAAACAATAGAAAGCAAAATCAGGTTAGACTCTAAAAGAGCACTTTTTTTTCATAGAAGCGCGTAAGAATTGTCAATTAATGAAACATTTATGCTGACAATACTATCCTTCTCTCGCGCTCTCTCCTCTCTCTCTCATCTGGTTCGGGCATAGCCCATCTATCCTCTTCATCTCCTCCGGTTCAAGCACTCTTCACCAACAACAGGTGAGTTTTCTTTCGTTTCAATTTCTAATTTGCTTATTTTGACAATTTATTGTTGGAATATTGAAATATTGAACTGATTCAACTATAAGTCATTTTCTTCATTTTTCTGCAATTGATTTTTGTTCCAAAATGATTGAAATTTGCTGATTAATTTGGTTAAATTCTATTTTTAATTAATTTCTGGGACTTGAGGTGGATTAATTTCTTTGGTTAATTTGGTTAGAATCGTTTTTTCCCGTATAATTAGTTGATTAGTTGTAATTTAGTTTGGTGATTAGTTTTTGGATGATACTGGAAGATTTGATTGCTGTTAAATTAAATTTACACAGACATGGATACTCTCTTTCACGTGGTATCAGCGAAAACATGTCTGCAACATAAATTTACACCGGCATGTGGATAGTGAGCTTTTCAAAAGTAGTTTTTTTATTTGGACCAAAAGATAAAAAAATAGTATGAGTCGCATGAAATGGAAGATTGCAGAATCATAGTAAGCATATGATTTTGAGCAGGCAATGAACATCTCAGAGCCTTATCTCTGGCTCATAATTACAATTATGTTATGTAAGTCTTGATGATGTTGTGGTTTTTTTTGCTTTATTGCGTGACTTGTTGTGGTCTCCATTCCAGATCCATATACATCATATAGCTTCTGATGTTGTTGTGGTCTCCATTGAACGTTGTGTCTTGTTTTGCTCTATTAATAAAATTCAAAGTTTTCAAGTCTTTTTCATTAGTTTTCCTTTAATATTATATATATAAGGATGGCAAAAAAGGTGGGAACTTCAGCAAGAGCTCCACATGGTACATGCAATGATCATAATATATCCGTATTCAGTGAGTTGTGCATCAAGGATGTTGAGTTCAGACATTGTCTTGGCCCTCACTTTAACAAAGAAAGATCGGCAAATTTGATAGAAAACTTTAGGAAAGAAACAGGAAATTCTTATAGTAAAGCGCAATTGAAAAATAAGTGAGATAGACTAAAAAAGAATTGGTAGTTGTGCAAAAAACTAATTGGGAAAGAAACTGGCCTAGAGTGGAATCCAAGCAAGGGAACAATGGATGCCTTTGATGAATAGTGGAATAATAAGATTCAGGTATGTGCACTTTGTATCAGTTATGATGTTATTCTAGTTATAGTAATCATAAACTACATAATAACAACATTCTTTTTTATTTGTAGATAAATCCTGAATATGGAAGATTGCAGAAAGGCATCACTCTTGAGTTCGAGGAAAAGTTGGAAAAGTTCTCTTCACCCCAACATGGTTGATGTACATAGTTTCACATTGTCTCTGAATAAAATTTAACTGACTAGGTGAATTCTTATCATCTCCTTGTGAAGATCCAACCTTTGTTGTTTCTTATTCTAACCTTTCCGCTACCTGCTGTAGTTCCTTAATTTCTGTCACAAAAGCTCACCCAGTCTTTCTTCTTCAGGAGTTTCTTCCTGATGTGCATCAAGTTAACTAGATTCGGCTTCTGTTCCTATGATTTGATGACATTCCAATAGCGTTGGCGACACAGCAAAGTTAGAGGAAGCTAGAACCTCAGTTGTTACCTCCAGAGGATGCATGAGAAAGGAAGTGTGTGATTTTCGTCATTGGTGCATGCTGCCCCAAGTCATAAACTGGCCTCTACTCAACTGTGAGACCTCCATCAGTCCATTGAATACCTCAGATCGGCATCTACTCGATTATTACGCCTCCATTGGCCCTCACGTGCTTCATATTCGATACTTTTGTACTTGGGTACTCCACTCTGCCTGTATCTGTGAACCGATCCATATTTTTAGCAATGTATAAATATAAAATAGTAGCGAAAAACACTTCAAAAATCAATTTATAATACAAAATCACTCAGCCGTCAACTATGTTCAGCAACGGTGTTTTAATTTTTATTGTGAGAGTTTTGAGCAACTTAATGTTGTAACATATAATTTGATGATAGATGAAGGCACGGGAAGCTCTTAGAGGCACGATCAGCTCTTCAAGAGATGGTAGATGAAGGCATAGAACCCAGTATTTACTCATACAACATTGTGATAAATGGGTTATGCAAAAGCAGGAGGCTCCGTGATGCAAGAACGGTGATGAGTCTAATGGAAAGAAATAATATTTCCCCAGATACGGTGACGTACAGTACTGTACTTCACGGTTTCTGCAGTAAGGGTAAGGTATTTGAGGCCAACAATATTCTGCATGAGATGATGACGAATAATTGCTTCTCAAATTCTCATACTTGCAACACTTTGCTGCATAGCCTTTGGAAGGAGGGAAGGACATCAGAAGCAGAGGAGCTTCTGAAAAAGATGAATGAGAGAGGTTATGGCTTAGATACTGTGACCTGCAATAATGTGATTGATGGTCTATGCAATGATGGGAAATTGGACAAAGCAATTGAAATTGTGAGTGGGATGTGGACTCATGGAAGTGCGGCTCTTGGAAACTTAGGGAACTCATTTATTGGCCTGGTTGACGATGGTAATAATGGGAAGAAATGCATCCCTGATTTGATAACGTATTCAACCATAATTGGTGGGTTATGCAAGGCTGGGAGGCTTGATGAAGCGAAGAAGAAGTTCATGGAGATGTTGGGGAAAAACTTGCACCCTGATTCACTGATTTATGATTTGTTTATACAAAGTTTTTCCGAACAAGGAAAGATATCAGCATTTTAGGTGTTGAAGGACATGGAGAAAAATGGTTGCAACACGAGTACTCGAACTTATAATTCATTAATCCTGGGATTAGGGAGGAAAAAGCAAAATTTTGAAATATACGGATTGATGGATGAGATGAGAGAAAGAGGAGTCCCTACTGATGTATGCACTTATAATAACATGATGAAAAGTCTTTTTGAAGGAGAGAGAGTAAGAGATGCCACTTCTCTTTTAGATGAAATGCTGCAGAAAGGCATATCCCCGAATATATCTACCTTCAGAATATTGATTGAAGCTTTCGCCAAGGGATATGATTTTGGAGCCGCTCATGAGGTATTCGACGTTGCTTGAAGTGTATGCTGCGGCTACAAGGAAGCCTTGTATAGTTTGTTGTTTGCTCGCTGGAAGGGAAATATGGAGTGCTAAAGAGCTATTTGAAATTGCATTGTACAGGTATTTGGGGAATTTTAACTACAATGATCTCATTGACAGACTTTGCAAGGATGAAATGTTAGAGGATGCTGCTAGCATCCTTCGTGCAATGAAGAATAAAGGATACGGATTTGATCCAGCATCATTCCTGCCAGTAATTGATGGATTAGGTAAAAGGGGAAATAAGCAGGAGGCTGATGAACTTTCAGAGATAATGTTGGAAATGGAGACCGAAGGTAGGGTAGCAGATAAGGTTTACCGAAATGAGAGGGAAATGATTGGTCGGAAACCAAATAACACCCACGGAAGTGATTGGCAGACCATAGTGCACAGGTATGGTTGACATACATACACGATTCTTTTCCGTTTTGGTTCAAACAACTTCTGGCATTGCTTTGCCATTATACATGGACCATGTCTGTTTCTTAATATTTTTGAATTGATGTCTCATGAGTTGTACTCTTTTTTATTCTCCCGCTCTCCACTTTACAACTTATTAAATGACTCTTTGAGGTACTTAATAAATGCCTTGATCATCAAATCAATAGTTGATGGCTGAGGCAGGCCTGCCCATATTAATTTCACTAGGTTTTTTTATCTCACCCTTGCAGTAGTGCGGCCTTGATGCTTGAAGCTCTTTACGCTTTTATTTGTGCAATCTAGTCTTAATTTTATTATGACGTTTGGTAACTTACCTTTTTTCTTTCACAGAGATGATGGCAGTGGAATTGCATTGAAAACCCTTAAGCGGGTACAGAAAGGCTGGGGTCGAGAGAGTCTAACGAGTTTGCAGCCCCAGACAACTAAATTTATCGATTATTGAGAGGAAATGATCCGTCAATTTCTTTCAGCTGGTTGGAGAGATAATGGAACCCCAAAACAAAGCCAAGAAAGATATCAACCTTTAGGATCTCAGGTACAATTGGTTTTCTGGTTTTGACTTTTTCCTTCTATTTTCTTCTACTTTATATTTTTATACAATTTCTCACAAGTGTCGGGCAATGTGAAATCAATGAAAGCCCAGAAGTAAATCCTGTTAACATCTCATTTAAGATTTGCAGCCAAGTTTGCTGGATTTTAATGCTTGCTCAGCTCAATAATTAAACAGAATTACATTAACTGATTTCAGATATCTTACGACACACACATGCCGGAATCCTTCCTAGGATATTGAATGGACTAACTAGAAATTGATTAGCGTCCTGTCCATAATTAGAACGCCCTTATTCATTGTGGGTATGGGAGGCATCTATTACTATGGTGTCGATGCTTCTTCCTTTGTTTTTAGTTGCTAAAATTCGCAAAAGGAAAAGTTTATGGTATGTACGGCTATGCAACTCACTTAGTATTAAGCTGCTCGCTTGAGTTCTTATCTTCCATAAAGTTCTCTTCACCCCAACATGGTTGATGTACATAGTTTCACATTGTCTCTGAATAAAATTTAACTGACCGGGTGAATTCTTATCGTCTCCTTGTGAAGATCCAACCTTTGTTGTCTCTTATTCTAACCTTTCCGCTACCTGCTATAGTTCCTTAATTTCTGTCACAAAAGCTCACCCAATCTTTCTTCTTCAGGAGTTTCTTCCTGATGTGCATCAAGTTAACTAGATTCGGCTTCTGTTCCTATGATTAGATGACATTCCGAAAGCATTGGCGACCCAGCAAAGTTAGAGGAAGCTAGAACCTCAGTTGTTACCTCCAGAGGATGCATGAGAAAGGAAGTGTGTGATTTTCCTCATTGGTGCATGCTGCCCCAAGTCATAAACTGGCCTCTACTCAACTGTGAGACCTCCATCAGTCCATTGAATACCTCAGATCGGCATCTACTTGATTATTACGCCTCCATTGGCCCTTACGTGCTTCATATTCGATACTTTTGTACTTGGGTACTCCACTCTGCCTGTATCTGTGAACCGATCCATACTTTTAGCAATGTATAAATATAAAATAGTAGCGAAAAACACTTCAAAAATCAATGTATAATACAAAATCACTCAGCCGTCAACTATGTTCAGCAACGGTGTTTTAATTTTTATTGTGAGAGTTTTGAGCAACTTGTTCGTGATGAGAAAAATAAGACGGGGTTTTATCACAAATTATCTCTTTATGTTTTGCTAACTCAACAGTTTGGTCATTTAGATTTTGGATTCTTAAATACTCCATGTGGCATTATGTAATTGGTCTTGTGGGTCAACAATATATTATGAAAATTTTATTAGTCAACTATACTATATAGAGGATAAAATAACTACAATGTTCTTGATACCTTAAAAGGTTTAAATATAACTTTAATAACTAAGGGCGGCATTATAATTCTAGTTTACCCATTCCCTCTCTGTCACCAGAAATTCTGGTTTGTGCCGCACCTAAGACCTTCTCCTTTTTTACGAGAACAACTTGTATGACACAAATTCATCGCTACAATGTTGCGTCTCATGCCAATAATATAAGAACATGTGAAAAAAAAACTAACACATGTTCTTGCGTTATTGACACGAAACGCTATGTGAAAGTGAACCGTTGCCATGCAAGTCCTTCTCTTCCTTCGCACCCTAATTTTCCTGTAGAAACTATCTCACATGCATAGCGTGTAGCCTCACTCTAGTATTTGATGGTATGGAAATAATGATTTGAAGTTGAGCGCATGTTCTTTTTTTATTCTTTATGTGTTGGTAAAGATGAAAAGCGAATTGAAAATATAATTCTTTTTCTCTCCTATCCATTCTTAGTAAGTAAAAAAAATTTCTTGACAAACGATAGGATAATTTGTTATAATTATTTAAATTACAGAGAGGAATTTGAACACGAAAACTTGAGTGCAAAGAAAAATTATTTAAGCAGCAGAGTTACAATCCACTTGCGATAAGTAAACATTGTTCGGTTATTCCTTCCTGCACAAAATCTCCAGGCAGGAAAAGTAAACAAAATTAAGGCCAATAAAAACTCTATACAAGAGCTCTCCCACCACCACCACCACCTCCACCTTCATGCGCACGCAATGTGCTTGCAGAGGAAGAATTTTTTTTTTTTTTTTTTTTTTAAAAGTAAATATTGTGGGCTAGTGGGGTTTGAACTGTACGGATAGGAACTAGAATAACTGTCTATAACTGCCAATTCAGAGATGAGTCCAAAGTAACCGCCCTTTGTTGCCCTACAAATTCTGAACGCACTCCCGACTGTTGAACTTTTTTCCTCTTCCCCCATTATCTTGTCTCTTCTTCCACCAAATCCACTCATCTTTTACAAGAAAACAGCACATTCCTCAATGAACAACTCCCCCGACATCGATTTCCGATTCCCCATATCCCCTCCAACCCACCAAGACGCCGTCGTTCCGGCCGCCCCCGCCACCACCATTGCCTACGCGGTTTCTTCTTCTTCCACTTGTTTCACTGCAGAAGATAAAACCCACCACAATCCCAGGAAGAAACGCTCCAAGCTGATCAGGCTCGACAACCAGGCTGCTCCGAACAAGGTTTTGAGGCCTAAGCATGCGAAAAAACCAGACCCATCTGCCCCAAAGATCACGAAACCCTGCACTGAGTGCGGCAAGACGTTCTGGTCATGGAAGGCTTTGTTCGGGCACATGCGGTGCCACCCCGAGCGCCAGTGGAGGGGCATTGACCCACCACCGAATCTGCGGCTGCCCGCTTCACCCAACATCACGTTGAGCGAGTTGGGATTGGCCATGGGTGAAGAGGACCACGAGGCCGCCTCGAGTTTGCTAATGCTTTCCAGTGGGATTACTTCTGGGACAAGTAATGAGATCATCGTTACTACCACCGCTACTCAGAGTGTGAGTAATACTAGTAATCTCCAAGGTATACAGGAGGTGTTTGATGGTGGTAATAGTAACAATAGTGGTAGGTTTGAGTGCTCGAGTTGTAAGAAAGTGTTTGCGTCCCACCAGGCGTTGGGGGGCCACAGGGCAAGCCACAAGAATGTGAAGGGCTGTTTTGCAATTACAAGGAGTGATGGAGAGGTTGATCAGGATCATCATCACCACAATGAACATGGTGATGGTGATGGTGATGATGATGTGATGGATGAGGATCACATGGAGTTGGTGGGGTCATCAGCAGGGCACAAGTGCAGTGTTTGTTGGAGGGTATTTTCAAGTGGGCAGGCATTGGGAGGGCACATGCGGTGTCACTGGGAAAAAGGGGAGGAGAACCAGTTAGAGTTAGGGTTAGGGTTCAACCTGCAGCAGCCTTATGGAACTTCAAGGGAATTATTGTTAGGTCAAAATTCTGCTGGTGGTAGTGGTGGGCTGGTCTTGAATTTGCCTTCTGCTGCTGCTTCTACTTCTCACACTGCAGATGATCAGTACTACTCCTCTTCGTACTCTTCTTCTGGACTCACTTTGGATTTAAGGTTGGGTCTTTGAATGAATCTGAATTAGTGTATATGTATATGTATATGTGTGTCTTGGAACATAATTAGGTGATTTATTTTGTAACAATTGATATTTGACTTGGAAGATATATATATATGTGTATTGTAGTTAAAGTACTTGTTATTGGCTCCTCAATTGGGAGATTATATATAAATTAATATTGTGGTTTACAGAATACCTGTAAAGATAGCTTTATATTTATACGCATAAATTACAAATTATCTGAGTTTGGTTTGTATTAATGCTTGTTATTCTGTTCAACTTTCAACTTCAACTTTGCACCTTCTTGCTAGTTTGGTTTGTCATTTGCTTTGTGTTGTCCACTGAACTACAGATCAACTCTGGGATTGAGTTACAAGCCATGTTGTGTATAATTTCAGTAGTTAGACCTAATTTCTGAGCGGTAACCGGATCGATTTGTAGCTACAAGCTGTCTTAGACAAAAACAACCAAGCATTATCCCTCTAAGTGGAGTCATTGTATGAACCCTAGAACGCACTCAGTTTTGCACCAAATCTTCCGTTAGCTCCAAGTATTCCATATCTTTTCTTAGTCTCTTTCAAAGGCTTCCTAGGTCTTCCTTTACCCTTTTTGCCATGACTCTCTGTCTCATAATCGCATCTTCTAACTGGAGCATATGTAGGTCTTCCTCTACAAGCTGTCTAATACAAGGAAATCTAGTCTGAAAATCAGAAGTTCAGACGTTAGGGCTATTGAATCAAATTGGCAATTGTGTTCCATTCCAATAGCTAAGATTGTTTGGAAGCAATTATTAATTGGTGTTTTTGAGTTAGGTCTTCTTTGGAACTGGAATATGTAGCAAACTGATTAAACCATGAACTCAAACTAATGGATCCAGAATAGGGTATTTAGCCCAAATGTTTTTTTATTTTTTAATTTGTTTTATTCACTTCCCTTATTCTTAAGTTTCCCAATTTTTTACTTCACTTATTACTAAAATTTCCTACTTTTTATTTCCCCCATATACCTGGTAAGTAAACATGTCAAATGAGAGATAATTTGGTTTCCCAATTTTTTACTTCACTTATTACTAAAATTTCCTAATTTTTATTTCCCCCATATACCTGGTAAGTAAACATGTCAAATGAGAGATAATTTGAGTCGGTTCCTAACTATGTTTCTTTTTCAATAACGCAAATGTTGCCACATCATCATGTACTTTCCACAATGAAAATTCCACCTAGATGGACACTAATAAACATATATTTAATTATGAAGTCAAAGTATCAATAACATCAATAATACGGACCACATGTCAGTAATCAATAACATAAAAAATGCCACGCAATTAGGCTGGATGACCCAAGATTCTCTTGCAAAGGTGAATAATAACTATATTTTTAATGACACTCAAATGTATGATTTAATCATACAACTATGTTATAAAATGCGGACTTCAAATTGATAAAAAGGAGACTTCTAAAGATGTATGGAAAATTTGAAAAAAAAACTAAATTTGAATTCTATATAAAATTATAGCCACATTTTTAAGTTTATGATAACTATAACAAAAAATTGAAATGAAAGTACCAATATGACCTTAATGACTAAAAATTTCCTCATTTTGCCAGCTATATGATACATACATGCTCCATGATGTGCATCTGGAAACAAGGTTTGCACAGCTTTACAATGCTTCCATGCCGATTAGATACAAACACCAAGTCTGTTAAATCTCCAATGACACCCTCTCGATTTTGTAATTAACCATGTCCATGAAGCATCATTTTCTAAGTCACCCACGCCAAATACCAAGGGATATATTTAATTTTTTCCATCCTGGTATGCAACGACAAATAAGGTGCCAAAATATTTACCCTTTTAAACGACCCATCAACTGGGGAAGTTTTTAATTATTAAAGGATTATCATAAGCTTAAAAAGATGACTATAATTCTACATGTATTGAACCACACAAATTCGAATTTTTATTAATTTTTTGTTGAAACAAATTCTACTTAGAAACCAGTCAGTATGCTTGTTCCACATTGATTTGTCACAAATCATACAATTGGGCTTAAGTTGTAAAGACCAAACGCTCACATAAACTTTGGGTTTAAAATAGTGACAGGCCCACCACATTTTGGGCCCAATGCACCTCAAAGGACAGAGCCCAATACACAAACAAACAAGTATAAGATTAGAAGCTGCACCGCAGGAACAAAGCATTGAGATAGCAGTTGACAAATTTACCCTTTTAATTATATTTTTCAACGGTTACAATTCAATACTTTCAGCAGCTTTGGCTACAGCTGATGTAAGAATACTGCACATACAAGCAGGAGAACCAACTTGTGGTGCACATACGGCAACCCAAATTTTACAGACAACTTGTGGTGAATACAAGCAGGACAACCAACTGCAGAAAAGGTCGGAACCCGTGGAAAATAAACTAGCAGCAGCAGCAGGCACACTTTTATCCAGCTGCAATTTACTGATTAGCACAATTTGCTCCTTCTTCCTTGGTGTCATTTCAATCCTCCGATCGGTCTTCCTGAGTTGAGGGCACTTTAAACAGCTTCACAGATTTCCCCAGAACATTCAATCGCCCAACGTGCTGCAACTCTTTTGCTGTAGTAATGGGAGATGTAAGGAGGAATGCAAGAGAGAGGTTTTATGCCGCGTCCAGACATTCAGGGCGGTATAATAGGAAAAATAAATAGAAAGCTTCAAAAGTTGATACGTAACCACCATCTCGCTACAACAATTATGGCGACAAAAGGAAGAGGTCATGATTACCAGATATGACATGAAACATTATGCTTTCAAACGAATCATAGAGTTTTTTAATGACAAAGCGGGACGAAGCCAGAAATTTTTCTAGTGGGGCAACCGAAAACAAATTAAGAAAACCTTATTATAGTATGGTTATACGTAATATGATATTAAGGATGGTTTCAAATGATGATGTATCACAATTTCAATGTTACAAAAATTTCAATATAGTAGTGGAGAGTGGCAAAGTGACGAAAAAAATATAAGTACATGATAGGCGGGAAAGGGTTTTTTCGGTTTGAATGACAGAACAAGAGCATTATTGCTCATATAATATTTGATATGAAGTATAAGTAGAATGAATGTATGTTGGATATTAGATACATATTTTCTTCAAAGATAACCCGTGTATATTATATAATTGTAGCCTGCAACTAAACAAACAAAGTACTTGAGTGGGGGCATGTGCCACCACTGAGCCTTCATTGGCTCTGTCCATGACAAAGAGTAATGGATTATTTTTAAAAAAAGATAGATGCCACGTATTTGGACGACTGCACTTACATTGAAGTACCGAAAACACAAATCCACCCAAAAGAGGTCAATAAAAATATCATCTATCAGTTTAGTGGATCTAAAAGTGATAGCAATTCACAGATCACATACATTTGTAACCTAACTCGTTGACAAGAATGAATAAGGCGCAAGCTGCCTTGCAAGGTTTGTCATCACCAACTCACCCGTATCGTGTGGGCGCCACGATGGCCAACTCAATGGATGACTTAATTTTTCTATGCATGAGGATAGGAAAAAAATATCATCTTACTTACAGAACCTGGACAAATATGTATGCCACGCACCATGTGGACATAAACATCTCTACTTATTACTTTAAAAGAAGAAGAAATTTAGAAACTTACTGATTATTATTGTTTAAATTATCTTCATATAAACATTCTCTTTTATCCTATTACACAAACAACAACTATGGCAAAACATGGTAGCTACCAAACATGTGAAAAACTTTGAGAATTTTGAGAAACCAAATAGCAGACACCGAAGGTGTCAATGGTTATAAAAGAAAGTCAACTGACTATTTATTCACAGCGTTGCTAAAAAAGGTAGGACCACGGTAAAGATCATTTCAACCAAAATAACCTGTGAATCTTCACAGATTAAGTAGACAGATATTTTGCAGATTTGGCAAACATTTGCAAGGTAAAAATCTTGAAAGCAGGTCATAGATTTCTTAATCTATATTATAGCTAACTTTCCCAATGTGGAGTTACACAAAGACCATGATAATTAAATTTGTAGTAAGACAATAAAACAAGAATTTCCATGTTAACATCTTTCTAACTACAATAGATATTTAAAAAACATAAAAAGAAGAGAATCATATTACCTTCCTCCAGTGAAAGCTGAATTGATCTCTTTTCCAACTCAACTGCAAGTCTGCTCAGTTCAACCGAGGAGAGCGACCGCAGCACTAACAGATAATCAAAATCCAAAGGGTAAGTCAGTACAGTTACAATTTAAGGAAATCCAAACAAAACATATTAAGGTGGATTTTCTCAATTCAAGTGCGTACTCTGGATATAATCCTCATGTTCTGATTGGTCCAAGTTCCTCAATAGCAACTGCAATTGATGGAATCGCTCTTCCCAGTGCAGATTTTTTAGACCCATAGAACAATGCACTGTAGAAGAAGTATGGGGATGACCATTGGCTCCTGCTGGTGGTAGTCCAGTACCAGACTTACTAGGCGGGACCGGAACTGAAGGTTTTCCAGGCGGAATGGTTGAAGCTGCCACTGGAAAAGGTGCAAAAGCCGGCACACAATAAACTTTTGTTTCCTTTGTTTGGGGTATGGGTTGGGTGCTTGCCTCATGGTGACTAAGTTTCCTTGACATCTGACACTCAGCATTAATGCTTGCATTATCACATGTACTATTTCTGACTGCATCTGCTTCAGATTTTCTACGAACATAGACAAGCTGCGTATTTGCAGGACTGCTACTGGGGGATTGGTGTTGAGGAGGGCTCATTGGCCTCTCAGGTAAAGGTCTCTTGGTACCCGAAACTCTAGGGGCATTACTAGTGGGTCTATCCTTGGGAACATTTTGCAGATCTCTTAACACTGTCTTCTTTACAGGAACTGGCTGTCGTTTATCATGAATAGACGACTCAGATTCTGTAGTTCCCATCCCATATTCACTGACTATAGAATCTATGGTTTGCTGAACCATCTGAAGT